CGTTGTAATAAATTGTTGTGGTAGGATCCACCTAATTTGCATAGTGGAGTACCGACCATATAAATATGGTTGGTACCGGGAAGACGAGGGGAGGAATCAAGAGATCCAATTCAGAGACTCTGCCCGACTGCGACTAAGTCAACACATTCTCCAGGAACGGTCTTCCCAAGAATATACAAAAGACTATATGTAAATATTGTGTACACTTTCTTGTTTCAATACATTTTGTTCTATTCCATGCATTAGTCAAGTTTCAACAATGGCGACGAGGTAGTAAGAACTTTACGAAAAAAAAAAGAATTGATAGTTGATAGCCTTCAACAATTGGGACAAGTCTTTGAAGAACCCAGGCTGAAGGAAAAAATTATTAATTAAAAGTTCAACATCTAATGGAACGGCAAAGGATTCTGAGGTTCTGGATATTTAAAACTCGTTAAAGGACGACTAAGCATAAAGGAACGTTCACTCAGAAAAATCTGAAAGGTGGCGTAAACGAATAACGATGAATTAAAAAAAAAAAAAAAAAAAAAAAACTGGCCGACTACAAAAACATGCATGGAATTAAAAGGCGCACAAATACACCGTGTCCACTTTGAAAGGGAACGAACTTGTAAAAAAAAAAAAAAAAAAAAATTTCATTTTTTTTTTTGGTTGCTCAACAATATTTTATAAAGCAAGACATAAAATTAAAAAGTCGTAAGTTGTTTCGAATTTTTTGGTCAGCAAATATTATATTCGTGGATACACAATTTAAAAGTATATTCTCTGTTGCATGAACACTATCAGCTAAAGATGGATGAATTATCCAAAGTCATATCTGAATTATTCAAATCCCAGCAGTTGAGTCAGCAACGTCAAAGTGAACAGTTTGCCTTATTAATAAGGGAACAACAGAAAAGACAGCAAAAATATCAAGAAAAACAAGAGGAAAGTTAAGTCAGTGTTTGACAAGCTTTTGCCAGGAAAAAATAGAGTAAAGAATACTATGTATACAGCGAGAAAAAGATACACTCCCGGAGAGAAGGTGTTTTTCAAGTGCAACAAAAACAACGTTGAGTTCTGGGAGCGAGGCATAGTGGACAAGAGAATCCGTGACCTGATTTACATAATTAAAGGGCCGAAGAATACTCATAAAAGGCACCAGAACCAACTTAAAAAAATGTTACGTTAGAGAGCATGAAGAGAGTATACCGGATGAGGAGGAAGATCCCATTGATATAATGTATGAGATGTTTCAAGTAGAACCTCCACAGAATACTCCTGAACCAAGAAGATCCGGTAGGAAACGGAAGTTCACGGACCCATTGGACGTGAATCCAAAACGGAAAAAATATTAAAATTAAGCAGATGGACATATGCATATGAAGTATGCAAATGGATCTACAAAGAAATAACCATAATCATCAACCCATATAGGAAGCCAATTTGAAATCCAAAAGGGATTCCAAGGCTTGGGAGGGGGGTGTTGTGGTAAGATCCACCTAATTTGCATAGTGGAGTACCGACCATATAAATATGGTTGGTACCGGGAAGACGAGGGGAGGAGTCAAGAGATCCAATTCAGAGACTCTGCCCGACTGCGACTAAGTCAACACATTCTCCAGGAACGGTCTTCCCAAGAATATACAAAAGACTATATGTAAATATTGTGTACACTTTCTTGTTTCAATACATTTTGTTCTAAGTACATTTTGTGTTGTATTATTATTCCATGCATTAGTCAAGTTTCAGCATAAATATAGCGACAAAGATGAGGACAATATTCCTAATAATATAAATAGTGTAATATTTTTATAGAATTCAAAAATTGGTCGTTCGGCAACGTTACGATATTATTTTCTGCAGCGTTCGTTGTAACAATTGTTGTCTGAAATTTCATACTACGACGAATTAGTCGAACAGATCAGAAAAAATTACAAAATGGTTTAAATAAGCAAGGATAATTTGTATAATTAAATTTTCTTAAAATTCAGCGAATCATTGAGACAACTGGAAAAGATAGCAAATATGTTTTATTATTATTATTATTATTGTTCTTTTTGTTGTTGTTGTTTATAATAATAATAATAATAATAATAATAATAATGCAAAGATTTGAAATTTATTCAGATGTTTCTCACTATGGCGCTATGTGGCTTAGCATAATGAGAAAAACAACACTAAAAAGTAGATGACTTACTAAAAGGCAAGATATCAGGCAACAGACATATTGATTCAGCCTTGGAGAGTATAATAATGTTCGACTTTCTTAGCCGATAAAAGTACGTGTGAAAAAATGTCTGTATAAACTTTGAACCTCTAAAATGAAATATACTTGATTTTGAGAAAAAAAAACGAAAGAAAAAATATTTCAAAAGCGGAAGTTAGGCAGAAAATGGAAGGAAAGTGTAACGGTTGGAGAAAAGGTGAAATCTGGAGAAATGAAATTAAGAGAGAGTAAGAGGGGTAACCGAGGAAGAGAAGAAGTAAGTTTGAGAGAGAATCAAAATGGCGACAGAGGAAAAGTGAAAAAAGAAAGACGTTAAAATAGAAGAAGCTGAAATAAAGATGACCCTGTATATATATAGTCTTCGCTTCATGATGTTCCAAAGTTTTTCGATTGGTCTTGCGAAAGGAGCTCGTGAGGCACACTACTCTTCGAATCCAATTAGATACAATACATCACCTTGATCGGATGAATACGAGATTTTACAATCTTTAAGAAAGGTTAGTTTCTTTTCGTAAGGTCGGAACTCGGATAGTGCGTTGCCCGTGGATATACATATATATAAATAGATATATATTCGACTCTCCCGTCGTATTCGACGTGTGAGAGTCAAGCAATTCAGTTCCTAGGAACCTACAGCCAGACACCAGCACATGTGATTTGATTATAGTGTTAAAGGTTTTGTGCAGAACCATCCACACACACACACACACACACACATATATATATACATATGTATGTATATTACAATATATATATATATATATATATATATATATATATATATATATATATATATATATACAATGAATCATTCATACAAAAAGTAAATTAGTAAAGTTAATAATATAAAATGGCGTAATCCCTTCGCTAACTAAATTTTAAAGATGCATCAACCCACTAATCACTCAATGAATGTTATGATCCTTGTTCTTTTTTTTTTAAATTATAAACTATATTAGGTCTTCTTTAAATACGCAATTACATTCGACGGTTCTTCCGGTCATCATCAGGTATGGAAACTATTTCCTTTTTTCTAAAATCCAGGTAGCATCTCAGACGAAAACATATAATGAAACTCGAAATATGTTTGTTTTTTTAATGTGTTATTGATAATAGATACAAACTTGTGGAGAGTTCACTCGCAAAACTAAGCTTGAATTTTTTTTTAATTTTAGTGAGTGCATTTTTTTTACTAATATGGCAATTTAAGAATTTTTTTTGTTGTGTGAATTTATTAGTTAACGTATCATGAACTAAATAATTCAGTAGGTAGAGTAATGTCTCAATTGTTATCCCGAAATTTTGATGATCCGACGTGCAAATTTTCGTGATAACAACTGAGACATTACTCTATTTATTTCTATTTGCATTATATAATTGTTTCCATGCTCTATCTATGATATTGAACACTTTATCCTATAAATATAGCCTACCTTAAAACTATATACATATATATATATATATATATATATATATATATATATATATATTTATATATATATATATATATATATATATATATATATATATATATATATATATATATATATATATATATATATATATATATATATTAGTATTTAAAATTTACTAATAAATATTAACTATTTGAAAATTTATTAATATTATATTGATATAATGAGATTGATTATATTTAAAGGAAATTAATATATTAATAATTTACTTTATTTTTTACTATAACTTTTACTATATAATTAAAGATTAATGGGTTAATATTAACATCTTTTTATAAAAGTATTATTTTAAATTTTTACTCCTATTCTCTAATAATTATAAGCTCCTCTCTAAAATGTTTCATGGCCAGTTTATTGTTCATTCTTATTCCTTGCACAGGTGTTGATAGATTACATTTGTGCCAATGTCCATTTTCAACCGTCGCGTTTATTTGTACCCGACTCCGACACAACCACTTTAGGTTCCTTAACCCTCTTTATCTATATAATTCTCTCCTCTATTATAGACCTATTCTTATTCCCTCTTCTTTTATTCTTTACTTTTTGTTTTCTTCTTTCCATCCTTTACCTTTTAAATTTCCTGTGAAGAAACGTTTTATTCATTTTAGTAAATGTATTTGCATTGATAAATCTAGGGAAAAAGTAATTGTTCATGGAAGAAATGATCATCTGTATGAGGTAAATCGTTTGGATCGCATTAATTGTAATTCAAATGCTCTATAATAAAAAATTATATTGAGCTCTCTTTTGTCGATCGGTTTTAATATATTATATTAATAGGATCTACTTGGATTACATACCCACGGATTTTTCAGGCAATTCAACTGTAAATTGATGCGATTTTGAGGTCAATCTCACCCTGTGATTAAATACATAAAGTCTTGGTACAATGGGGGAGGTAAGTTCTAGTTAGACAGATTTTTTCTCCAGACCTGTTCCATTATGGATCAGACTCCCAAGAGTATATTTCTCTGATCACTACAATCTTCATCTTCAAGTCGAGACTCAACCGTTAACTGCTTTTCTCTTTCTCTTTCTGCCTCTCTATCAACCTCTCTATTTCTCTGTGTGTGCGTGTGTGTGTTTGCGAAGATTCAGGGTTCAACATACTGTATAATAATGTATTTAAGCATCAAATGCTTTGATTGATTGCTTCGCTTTCTACGATTTATAAAAGGTTATTTAAAGCCAGAAAACATTTTTAGATTTTTGGATAATAATGGCTTAGTGATACACATAACTAATTAATCCATAGCAAGGAGGAGAATAGGTTAATTCTTACTCGCTTCTCCGATTAGTAATTCCGCATATTCCAGATTGCAGCACCTGGTATTCCCAAGCAGTCACCCATCTAAGTACTGACCAGGATCGACGTTGCTTAACTTCGGTGATCTTACGGGAACGTTTCAACGTGATTAAATGTCTAAACAGAATAACGGCAGTGGCAGCACTAACGAAAGTTAATTTGTGATATATTTTCTTAAATAACATATGTCTTGCATTAGTGCCTATTCTTTGATGGAATATGGTAAATTTAATTAGCTTCACCGGAAGCCCTAGGGTCAGGGGTCATTGTTAAGGATAGAGTTCGACACCTAAATTAAATAAATTGCATTCAGCTGAATTTCGGGTTGGAATCACGATTCCAAAATGTCAGACGTATTTTTGCGACAGGGAAGAAAAGATTTCGACATTCATTTTGCTCGTGGTAAGATAAACAAATCCGTTGAAGGTGTAAATAAATAAATGAAGGAAGGAAGGAAGGAAGGAAGGAAGGAAGGAGAATAAAGAAATCCTGTGCCACTAAGTAACGTAAGAATGAAACAAACAACTAAAGAAAAAGAAATGGGACGTGAAAGAAAGAAAGAAAGAAAGTAACAAAGAAAGAAAGATGAAATTAAAAGAGAAGGAAAGAAAAAAGGAAAGAAGGAAAAAAGAAAGAAAGAACGACAAAGACAGATAAAAATATATTAATTGACATAACAAGAAAGAAAGCATTAAAATGAAGAAAGAAAGAAAGAAAGAAAGAAAGAAAGAAAGAAAGAAAGAACGAAAGAAAGAAAGAAAGAAAGAAAGAAAGAGAGAAAAAAGTAAAAGACAAAGTCAAGAGAAAAATATGTTAATTGACGTAACAGGAAATAAAGAATGAATCTCCTGTATGATACAGATACAAAAAGAAAGAATATTTTCAATAAGAAAGAAAGAAAGAAAGAAAGAAAGAAAGAAAGAAAGAAAAAAAAAATTGATGAACGCCTGAAAAAGAAACAAATACCTAACAAGGAATGAAATTATTGAACAACTGAATAAAAAGGAGAAAAAATTGAACGCCAGAAAATTAAAGAACGAAGAAAAGAAGACAGAAGAAAAGAAAACAATTTACAATAGAAATCGAAAGCATAAAAGAAAGCCGACATTTTTTTTTAAAAGTCATGGATTAAAAAGAAAATAGTCCAATGAATCTGTAAAAGATAAAAAGAAAACATTTTACGTTGAGCGAGAAAGAGGCGAACACGCAATTCTTACCTCCTGGTATTTGTGGAGAGTGAAAAAAAGATTGACAAAAAGAAATCTTTGGCGTGTATAATAGCCAATTTGGTGAAGAATTCCTTATACACAAACGTGACACCGACAGCAAAACGAGACGATAGCCAAGTATTGAATTCCCGGACAAGAGGGTCCGATTGTCAGCGTTGTATATTGAGGCAGCGAACTCTCCTATCTTCTCTTTCTTTCCTTTTCGATGTGCAATAAGACACAACGGCAAATAAAGTAATAAGTGAAATTGAAAAATTTGTGTCGACCAACAAGAGAGGCAGGATCTCAAATAGCAGACGGCGTGTAATTGCAAAATAGCTGTGAAAAAATATCTGTACATATAAGGAGACCTGGAGGAAACAGATTTCGTGTTGGTGTCGACATCTTCTAAGTTTAGATTAGCACAAGGCCCCGTATTTTGAGTACTGTAAGGAAGATAAGAACGAGGAACACGTTCAATGATATAAAAGAGAAAAGGAAATGGTGAAAGCAAAAAAATGATAGAAAGAAAAATTATGTTGAAGAAAGAAAGAAAGAAAGAAAGAAAGAAAAAGAAAGAAAGAAAGAAGTAATGGATAAAAGAAAGAAAGAATGAGTGACAACAAGAAAGTAAGTAAATGCTAATGGACAAATAAAGATAAAAAAATAACGTTAAACTTCATAAGAAAGAAAGAAAGAAACTGTACCTCCTGCTGAAGAATTCTCCTTCTAAGCTAAGCTTAGTTTGGCACAAGGCCACGGGTATATGGCACCCAGCGAGGAATCAACACTCTACGTAGAAGTTTTGTTCAACCAGAGTTAACTAGCTCAGCATTATCCTACGTTCATGCGCCTATATTTAAAATTGAAGATTTGTGTGGCACAAGGCCTTGAATATGGGTACTTAGTGATCATCGAAATCAGTATACAGTATAAAATAGTCAAATAGTCAAAGATTCTGTTCATTACTCAGACTCGAGAACAGATTCTTTCTTTTTCACTCTCTGTCTTTTCATAGATATATGATTGCATATGTATGTGTATATTTACCATTAATAGTATCACTATATATATATATATATATATATATATATATATATATATATATATATATATAATGCAAAGCTCTTCAGTAAAATTAATTGTAGCCCTCTGATTGATTGAGGTTTGTTTACATTCGTAAAAACAATACGCTAGAATTAGCCACTTCACTCTACCGAATGGTGATAGCTCAGTGGTAAAATCTCTGACTGACAGCAAATCGGTCAGGTTTCAGTCCTGGCTTGAGGCATTCGGATGTCTAGTCGCGCTGATGAGCTGCGATACAGCTAAACAGTACTGTCTGCGAATGATGTTATACATATATATATATATATATATATATATACACGCACACAGATCGATCTATAGAGAGATATCAAGCCATTCTTATATATGCATATATTTTGCATTTCGATATTGTGTAATGATTATTAAACTTAAATTGTTCATTCCTTTTCTCAAGAGGCCCAGTGCTCCGATTACTATTGGTACAGCCTCAGTCTTTATTCCCCACATCCTGCAAATCTCGATCTCCAGGTCCTTTCATTTGAACAATTTCTTGATAGCTTTTATGGACGTGTTTCTCTCAGATGGTGCTAGTATTTCAATAAGCATACACTTCTTGAATTTCTTGTCTTTTATGATAGTATCAGGTCTGTTGGCTCGTCAGTTTCAATTGGCATGTCCCAGAGGATAGTTACATCGTTAATTTGGGTAACTAAGTCTTGTTGAAGTTTATACCATCTCTCAGTGGTTTCGATTTTGTGCTTCTTGTATATCTTCCAGTGCACATATGTCGCTACCTTGTTATGTCTGTCGGTATATTCATTTTTTGCTAGTTCCTTAGTTTCCTTGTGAATTACCAATCTTCTGAAACCCATGAAATCAATGCAGACATCCCCCAAATTTTCCTGCATCTCTTTCTGCATTTTTATTAACGATCTACTTAAGAACATTATCAGATTATTAGTAAACATACGTACAGATGATACGACATTTTATGGATACAATTACAAAAATCAAGATGTACGGAGCCTTGCAACAGATCTCCCTATTGATTTTAACACTAACAGTTCAATGGCGAAAAACTGGCTTGTAAACTTTCAATAAAAACCAAGATGGTATTATTTCATCATCACTAATCAGAGCCTGAGTTTTCTTCAGTCACGATGAACAGTTGCACTCTGAAAGAAGCTCCATGCTTTGAATACCTATTGAAAATCAAATTCACTTCAGACCTCGAGTGGAACTCGTACCTACGAGCCAATACTAAAGATACTGAAAAGATTGTTGGCTGACGCCTTCTGCCATGCTTTGTCCTTACAAGAATCAGATTAGTCCAAAGATGAAGTATTGCTGCCATATTTAATTTGGTGCTGCTCACTCCTCACTTTCCAGCCTTGGTAGAGTTCAAAATCGTTTACACGGTTTTGTAGAAGATAACTTATTTCCCACACCACAACCTCTTTCCCCACAGAGAAAAAAGTTGCAAGCGTATCGCTACTCATTATTTCCATAGCAAATGTCTAGATGAGTTACACTCTTTAGTTCAGTTCAGAACTTTGTAAGCAAAGTCAAATAGCCCACATTTCCTTTGTATTCCATTTGTAAGGAGGAAGTACCACCCAAGCAACTTTCTCCCAACAAACGAGTTACCGGCCATTTTTATCCTATTATAATAAAGTTTCTTCCACTGTACAGCCGCACTAGTGCATGCCTATCGCTACTTTCATGACAAAAGATTGTGTTCGAAATTCCCTAAATGTTGCCCGGAATAAGCTCCTAATGAAGGTCACAGGGCACAACGACTGAAACGTGTTGATAATAACAACAAGGACAAATACATTAGTCCGAATATAAATAATGTAAATATTGATAACTCTTAATCCCAGAAATTCTGACAGAAATTCCATGGCAAATTCGCAGATGCTCTCCGTTCTTGAATTCCACCTGTTCAGACTTTTACAAAATTAGGACACGCCAAGCCCCGTCCACGGACTTGAATCATTCTCATTCCCTCCGTATTCCAAATGTAAGGGAGAAGTTCCAGTCAGACAGTTTTTAGCCAAGAATTGCTACTGTTTTGGTGCAACTGACTCCCACGTGGATACTTCCTTGAATACTATAATCTAAACCTCTTCAAGTCATGGTTTAATCATTACCTATCCTCCATTTCGTAAGTTATTTTCACTTCCTACTCTTATACTCCTATCATACACTTCATTCACTAACTAACATTCTACATTGAGGGGCACTCGAGCCTTGCACTGATCGAACAATATTTACATTACGCCTAGTACATGATAAAAAGAGAATGGTGATGTGCAAGGACCGAATTCATTATGGATGAACATTTTACGTGTTGTAGAGTAGTTTTCACAGAGGAGGCTTGTATTTCAATAAGTCGTCCTAAATTAGGTTCGACGTACAAAACGTTAGAACTTGTTAAGAGTTAATGACGCACAATCTAGTTGTGAAAGTTGGTACTTCAATGTCTGATATCGACTGATTTTCACGACACCACTGGTAAAATCTTCTCACCCACTTGAAAAGAATATGGCACAAGGCCGGTTTTTATGTGGGTTTCCCGAGGGCCCAAGAAGGCTCGGCCAAAAAATCCTTTTGAAGCCGATTAAACGGGTTCAGGCCCTGTCCACCTCCCGGACGAAACCTTGCCCTTCGGCAAAGATTCGTCATTTTCTTACTTACGCAAAAGGACAGGAAGGCGTTTGCAGTCAAAGACAAGGGACGCCACTGAGTATTTATCTTCTCACCCACGGAAAAGAATATGGCACAAGGCCGGTTTTTTATGTGGGTTTTCCCGATCCCGTAGGCTCGGCCAAAAAATATAGTCTTTTGAAGCCGATTAAACGGGTTCAGGCCCCGACCTCCCCGGACGAAACCTTGCCCTTCGTTCGAGCCTCGTCAATTCCTCGAATTACGCAGAGAGTTCGACAGGAGGCGTGTGCAGTCAAAGACCGCGGGACGCCACTGGGTTTTATCTTTTCACCCACGGAAAGAATATGGCACAAAGGCCGGTTTTTATGGGGTTTTCCCGAGCCCGTAGGCTCGGCCAAAAATATAGGAAGCCGATTAAACGGGTTCAGGCCTGTCTACCTCCCCGGACGAAACCTTGCCCTTCGGCAAAGACCTAATGCAGAGATCGACAGGAGGCGTGTGCAGTCAAAGACCGCGGGACGCCACTGGGTATTTATCTTTTCACCCACGGAAAAGAATATGGCACAAGGCCGGTTTTTATGTGGGTTTTCCCGAGCCCGTAGGCTCGGCCAAAAAATAGCCTTTTTGGCCGATTAAACGGGTTTAGGCCCTGTCCACCTCCCGGACGAAACCTTGCCCTTCGGCAAAGCTTCGTCAGGGTTCCTGTTACGCAGAGCGTCGACAGGAGGCGTGTGCAGTCAAAGACCGCAGGACGCCACTGAGTATTTATCTTCTCACCCACGGAAAAGAATATGGCACAAGGCCGGTTTTTATGTGGGTTTTCCCGACCCGTAGGCTCGGCCAAAAATATAGCCTTTTGAAGCCGATTAAACGGGTTCAGGCCATCCACCTCCCGACGAAACCTTGCCCTTCGGCAAAGGTCTGGGTTCCTCTCTTACGCAGAGAGTTCGACAGGAGGCGTGTGCAGTCAAAGACCGCGGACGCCACTGAGTATTTATCTTCTCACCCACGGAAAAGAATATGGCACAAGGCCGGTTTTTTATGTGGGTTTTCCCGAGCCCGTGGCTCAGCCAAAAAAATAGCCTTTTGAAGCCGATTAAACGGGTTCAGGCCCTGACTACCTCCCCGGACGAAACCTTGCCCTTCGGCAAAGCTTCGTCCGGGTTCAGCCTGCTAACGCAGAGAGAAGACAGGAGGCGTGCGCAGAAAGACCGCGGGACGCCACTGAGTATTTATCTTCTCACCCACGGAAAAGAATATGGCACAAGGCCGGTTTTTATGTGGGTTTTCCCGAGCCCGTAGGCTCGGCCAAAATATAGCCTTTTGAAGCCGATTAAACGGGTTCAGGCCCCTACCTCCCGACGAAACCTTGCCCTTCGGCAAAGCTTCGTCCAAGTTCCTCTTCCAATGCAGAGAGTTCGACAGGAGGCGTGTGCAGTCAAAAACCGCGGGACGCCACTGGGTATTTATCTTTTCACCCACGGAAAGAATATGGCACAAGGCCGGTTTTTATGTGGGTTTTCCTGAGCCCGATCGGCCAAAAATATAGCCTTTTTGAAGCCGATTAAACGGGTTCAGGCCCTACATACACCTCCCGGACGAAACCTTGCCCTTCGGCAAAGCTTCTGTTCGGGTTCCTAGAAGCTTACGCAGAGGTCGACAGGAGGCGGTGCAGTCAAAGACCGCGGGACGCCACTTTTGTTTATCTTCTCACCCACGGAAAGAATATGGCAAAGGCCGGTTTTTGTGGGTTTTCCCAGCCCGTAGGCTCGGCCAAAAATATAGCCTTTTAAGCCGATTAAACGGGTTCAGGCCCCCACCTCCCGGACGAAACCTTGCCCTTCGGCAAAGCTTCGTCCGGTTCCTCTCTGTTACGCAGAGAGTTCGACAGGAGGCGTGTGCAGTCAAAGACCGCGGGACGCCACTGGTATTTATCTTCTCACCCACGGAAAAGAATATGGCACAAGGCCGGTTTTTATGGGGGTTTTCCCGAGCCCGTAGGCTCAGCCAAAAAAAATAGCCTTTTTGAAGCCGATTAAACGGGTTCAGGCCCTGTCTACCTCCCGGACGAAACCTTGCCCTTCGGCAAAGCTTCGTCCGGGTTCCTCTTCTGCTAACGCAGAGGGTCGACAGGAGGCGTGCGCACAAAGACCGCGGGTCGCCACTGAGTATTTATCTTCTCACCCACGGAAAAGAATATGGCACAAGGCCGGTTTTTATGTGGGTTTTCCCGAGCCCATAGGCTCAGCCAAAAAATAGCCTTTTGAAGCCGATTAAACGGGTTCAGGCCCTACTACCTTCCCCGGACGAAACCTTGCCCTTCGGCAAAGCTTCGTCTCCGTTCTTCTGCTAACGCAGAGGTCGACAGGAGGCGTGCGCAGTCAAAGACCGCGGGACGCCACTGGGTATTTATCTTTCACCCACGGAAAAGAATATGGCACAAGGCCGGTTTTTATGTGGGTTTTCCTGAAATGTAGGCTCGGCCAAAAAATACAGTTTTTGAAGCCGATTATATTGGGTTCAGGCCCTGTTTCCCCGGACGAAACCTTTGCCCTTCGGCAAAGCTTCGTCTGGGTTTCTCTGCGTTAGCAGAGAGGTCGACAGGAGGCGTGCGCAGTCAAAGACCGCGGGGCGCCACTGGTTTTATCTTCTCACCCACGGAAAAGAATATGGCCAAGGCCGGTTTTTATGTGGGTTTTCCTTCCCCGTAGGCTCGGCCAAAATATAGCCTTTTGAAGCCGATTAAACGGGTTCAGGCCTTCCACCTCCCCGGACGAAATTCTACCCTTCGGCAAGGCCTCGTCAGGTTCCTCTGCACTTACGCAGAACAAGTTCGACAGGAGGCGTGTGCAGTCAAAGACCGCGGGACGCCACTGGTATTTATCTTCTCACCCACGGAAAAGAATATGGATCAAGGCCGGTTTTTGTATGTGGGTTTTCCGAGCCCGTAGGCTCGGCCAAAAATATAGTCTTTTGAAATTAGATTATACGGGTTCAGGCCGTTAGAACCGGACGAAACCTTGCCCTTCGGCAAAGCGCAGCAATTCCTCTGCGTTAGCAGAGAGGTCGACAGGAGGCGTGATATCGAAGACCGCACGGCGCCACTGAGCCGAACCGGCCACTGCTACTACTACTTATTATCTGTGGGAGAGTCCATTACAATAGAATAGGTGTTATGGATGAACATTTTACGAGACTCTCGTTAGCCATAATTCCGCGCCAGGCAAGCATAAATGTAACATTATCGATCGGACGAAACACCAGGAGAAATAGGAAGAGAGAGAATGAGAGAGCGATGGATGGAGAGAGAGGGGGAAAACGAGAGAGTGAGAGAGAGAGAGAGAGAGAGAGAGAGAGAGAGAGAGTGAAAATACATTTCGGAGAATTGACCAAAAAGTTTCTATGTCATCTTGAAGGTACATTTTTGCCCAAAGAGCTTTTAAAATAGTTCTTTGATCATTGCTTTGTTTGGCTTTTTTTTTAATTCGTTACATCTGATATAAATTTAGGCTTCTTGGAAATATTGAATTGGCTTCACAATGATTTCATGCTTTCAGAATTGTGTAAAAATCTGTTTCTCTCTACAAATATATATATATGTATGTGTGTGTGTGTGTGTGTGTGTGTGTGTGTGTGTGTGTGTTGGAGTGTATGTCACGTTTTGCGCGCAAGCTAAAAAGTGTGAAATTTTGACTGTGTACAGGGTGCGATGGGTAAATTGTCGCCATTTTCGTATATTTTAATTTCGGGCATGCGCGTTGTTTGTTTTTGATTTTTGTCGCCTGCACAGTATAGTAAGGTCAGTTGGGCACCGTCTGTGGGATAAAGACCACGATGACGCAATTCACTCCGCTAGCAATTTCGAAGCGTCATGCTGTACTGCTTGGCATTCGCGCTAGAAGCTCTAATAAGGGCATTTCAGAGTGTTTGGGTGTCAATCTGAGGACAAGGCAGAGGATTTGGAAAAATATAGCCAGTCAACATCATAGTGTTTGGAGTAATTACTAGTGATTGCTACTTTATACCTGCATTCAACATCCCAGAGTGCCTCAGACTCAACACAGAGACCTACATCAAGTGTCTTGTGGACGTAGTACTGAACTGGAGCAAGAGCGGTGCAGCTGGAAGACCCTATGTCAGGCAACAGGCTTCTGAACCATACCACACAAGCAGGAAAACCCAGTCATGGCTGTCAGAAAATCCCTTCGACCACATCACCCCTTACATCTGGTCACCTAACTCCCCAGACTGCAACCACCTTGATTGGTATGTGTGGAGCACAATTGAGCGAGAGATGAGAAAAATGCCCTTTTAACCCCAAAGATGAACTAATAGCAAAGATTATGGCAGCATTCACGAACTTAAACAAGGAGACCATCCAGAAGAGATACAGATGATTCCGAAGTCATCTAGAGGCCGTGCAACCAATGGCGATTCTATTGAATAAATATTCTCTTTAATATTTCAAGATATTTTTTGTGTCATTTTGGTAAATAGATCTGTTAAAATCAGATGGTGTTACTTTCATTTTTGCGTAACTTAGACGACAATTTATCCATCGCACTCTCTGTGTGTATGTTTGTGTTTGTGCGTGTGTGTATCACTCTCTCGCTCTCTCCATCTCCTTCTCTCTCTCTCTCTCTCTCTCTCTCTCTCTATATATATATATATATATATATATATATATATATAAAGTGCATGAAAACCATACCATGGGTCGACCCAAGCCTTGTGAGTGAAATTGGGTAGACGGAACCCTTGGGTGCTGTCGGTAGCTGTACTAACACAAAGTCACAAGTCATCGTGGCCGAGGGCTTGAGCGTTGCTGGCCTTCTTCAAATTGTTGTTCACGTTAGATAAAACGGTTTTCCCTAGAAACTGTAACTAAGATCTGCTCATCATAGTTGCAGGTGGGCTTTGTGGGTGTTGAGCAAACACAAATGTGCCTGAGCGAGCGTCTGCAATAGGGATTGGCTAGTCTTCCTAGTAGACGGGTATCCTGGAATACAATTGGCCAGCTATTATTATTATTATTACTATTATTATTATTATTATTATTATTATATCAAGACTACATAGTTATTGCTTCTCTAATTCCCCCCCTCTCAGTCCAGATTAGACAGGTCTACCCTCTCACTCTCCTTCCCTTTCCCCACTGCACTGTTACCCTCTCGCTCTCTCGCTCATGCTCTCTCTCTCGCGCGCTCTCCCTCGCTCTCTTTTCTAGCTCTCTCTCTCTCCCTCGCTCTCTCTATCTCTTTAGCTCTATTTATCTCGCTTTTTCATTCTATCTCTATCTCTCACGCGTTCTCTCTCTCTCTCTCCCTCACTCTCTATCTATCTCTATCTATCTCTGTTTACACGATTATCTTTCTTGCTCGCACTTAACTCTCTAATTCCTCCCCACCGTAGTTCTGTCCGTTTTTCTCTTTTCCCTTTTAATATACCCCCCCACGCAAAACGATTATTACTCCCTCTTTCTCTCAACTTTGTCGTTTCTTTTCTTCGCCTGCCTCTTTTCTAAATTAAATTCTTTTGTTTTCTTGGTCTCTGTCTCTATCTCTCTCTCTCTCCTTCACACAGACACACACACACACAGAGAAAGAGAGAGAGAGAGAGAGAGAGAGACACTTTCTTCACAGTCTCCTCTTTGTGACCTTAATTATTCTTGATTATTCATCCTTCCTTATTGATATTCTATTTTAAATTGTCTTTCTACTTTCGAGTCACTTATCAATGCCACAAACAAATTGATTCATCTGTCTGTGCGTTAATTGATTGATTTACCGACGTCATTACAAAACAAAATGCGAAACTGTGGACCTTAAAGATAGAAAGGAATTTTTTTTTATACGCTGAGTCCCTTCAGGACGGAGGAGGTCGTGACTCTTCACAACATCCTATGCTATGTTTTTGCTACCTCACCCAGTTCATATTCTGATATCCATTTACACACACTTGTTAGATAGGTTACACACTGTTTTTCTCTGTTCCTCTTCACATTCCTTGTGAGCGTCAAATTCTCCGACTCCTCTTTCCTCATTACGTATCACAGAAATATTAACACTTTATTATTGGAAGTATAAACATTTTATTTTTCATTTTCCTTAAAACTTTTTCGTTGCTTATATTCCCTGTCCATGGTATTCTCAGCATCCTTCTGTAGAACCACTTCTTTCTTGCCTCATTTCTCTACATGATTTGTGAAGAAATTGTCCAAGGTTCACGGTCATATAGGCGGTTTGATATTACATAGCTGTTCAAAGTTCATTTCTTTATTTCTAACAATTTTTTTTTATTACTTTGTTTAGCTTTTAGAAGGCATCTTTCTCTATTCTTTCTCTAGTCTTCGGATTTGGGTGTCACACTTCCCGTCACCTGTTAAAACAATTCCCAGATATTTAAGCATTTGGATTAGTGACATGAGTGCAATGTGTGTGTGTGAAAAACTAATCTGTTTTCCAATTTACGTAATACCTTTGTTGTCCAATCAATGTTGAGACAGATTCGGAAGGATACTCTACCTTCATATCAGTTCCGGTAATTTGCAAACTCAAATATACATAGGCAGGTAAATGAATACAACAGGTTTGATAACATATATCGTTAGGACATAATGGGGTCCGACATATATCAATAGGATAATGGTTTAGCAATGGGTTCATCATTATTACCAGGAATGGCTAATATATACATGGAATACTTCGAGGAAATGGCATAAGAATCTACATCAATAAAGCCAACTCGTTAGAAATGGTCAGTATAAGCAGTACTCTACAACGTAACAACTACCTTGGGTACATAGCAGCAACTCCGACAAACTGGAATAGGAGGGTACAAGAGGATAACATCGCTCGGAAAACAGCTTTGGTAGTCAGGGACAAGACTGGCGTCGGACTCATCTCTAGGTGAACGGACTGATATACCAATAGATAACTTGATGAAGATGCTGACTTTCTGTACACAAACAATACACTTTGGAATGGGATCAAACATATATCGGCAAAATGAAGGCGTAACAATGGGCTCACCATTATCACCAGCAATGACAAGCATATACATCGAATACTTCGAAGAAAAGGCATTAGAAACCCCGTCACTAAAACCAACCATATGATACAGAGATGACACCTTCATACTCTGGCTACACCAGGAAGAGATCTAGCTACTACTGGACCATTGATGAATTTCACGACAGAGAGCAAAAACAACAACAAACTGGTATTCCTGGATGTACTAATATCTTGAACAGAGCATGGCTTCAATACATCCGTATACCGTAAACCAACATTCATCGGACAATAGCTCAACTTCAACTCCCACCACCCATACAGTGTAAAGAAGAGATCGTCCGCTGCTTACAACATCGAGCAAAAGTCATAAGAAATGGTCAGTATAAGCAGTACCCTACAACGTAGCAACTACATTGGGTACATAGCAGCAACTCCGACAAACTGGGATAGAAGGGTGCAGAGGATAACAATACTGAAAAAAAAGCTTTGGTTTGCCTACCCTAAGTGAATGAATTATCGGAGAAAATACAAAAGATCTATGGTCCATATAACATCAAGGAGCGCTGACAAGAGAGTGAAGTCAATGGGGTCAGGTAAAGGATATTACTGGAAGGCTCTAGCTGAAGCTCTACACAGTGGCAGACCGATGGGTTATGATGGCCGTTCTTTAGGGCTTAAAAAATTAAGTTAAATTTAAGTCATGAGTTATTTAGTAAGACTTATATTACTAAATCACTATTATCCCCATAGGGAAATTCTTACGATCTAAAAATATATTCTGGCTTTGAAGAACCTGCAAAAGGTCGATGGGCCGTAGTAAATAAGTCAATCAATCAATTTTTCTGCTAGCTGGCTAAATTTGTAGATAGAATCTAAAAGGCATCAACGCCAATTAGACAAAAATGAAAACTTCAGAAGAATTCAGCAAGAAAAACCAACTTAGCGGGTTTTAGAAGAAAGAAGACTTCAGCCAGATGAGAAATACTCCAAAAAGCCAAGAAATTATCAAAAATCTGATGCAACCACGCATGACTATATTATATATATATTATTTTTCAAGGGCAAACAAATTTTATCATACACCCTGGAAATAGATTCATATTACTGCACACCACTGCAAATAACCTAATCTGAGGAACAAAAATAGAAATCGATTAAACCCTGTCACTCCAGTGGGTCCAAAACTGACCTTGTGGTGAAAGAAAGGAAACAAAAGTGGTTGTTTCAATTCATTTTCACAAGTGTGTCAATTTCAATATTTCGAAATTGCTTTGAACAATTGTGGATGTCTAATAATAAAAAAGCTTAAGTGAAACGCTTATGTAGTTTTATTAAAGTTAATGGATTTATCATAAAATTTGAA